AGATGTTTAACTAGTCAGTGTTCCCATCTCAATTAGTATAGAAATCCAATGTTATATTATTGCGTAATATTACGGTGAGGAACCATCGCTGTGTCTTCTCCTCTTCGCGCCTTCCCCAGTTCTATAGAAACTCGCCAGGAGTGTATATCTATATAATCTATATATAAATCTATGTATATATAATACTCTCTCTCTCTCTCTCTCTCTCTATATATATATATATATATATATATATATTATACACTTTTGACCTTATCACATCCACCGCCTATGCTCACATTCTTACCTTAGTGTCCGCCCAGTGTAGAACGAGCCGGTATCCGGGCAGGATGTCCGCTCTGTTGTTAATCATCTCTAACGCGTACTCGAACGTGGGAACGATGCTCTGACCGCCCATCCACGCTCCCGACATCGGGTAGAAGCCACCGATGTACAAGTCAGTGACGTTAGCAGGTGGCGGTATGTTCTCGTAGAACTTGTTAACAACGGTAGCGAATGTCGTCGACGTGAGGCAAGCACACGCGGCGACCCAGAGCGTTAGCCGTAGCGCGAACATGTCAAACGATGGGATGGACACGTTTACTCTGATTCATAGGATGACAACATGCACCGTGATTCGGAGATGACACACCTGTATGTATGATTCCGCGGACTGACACATCTATTGCGAGCTGAGATGGATGTGAAAGAGAATTATTTGTCTCTGATCGAAGTAGGAAACCGTGGTGCGCTGTCCGCTTAAGTGTAAAGCAATCGAAATAGATGAGAGTTTATAACGAAGCGCGAAGTAATGCTTGTATTCTCATAGTTGTGTTCTCTCCGCATTGACGTGCATTGCTGTACGCATGCGCAAACCGGGGGCTGCAGCGGGTTGCACGTGTTGATGAAGAGAGAGTTCTAGTCTCACTAGCGTTCATCGCTTGATGAATTTTATTAATTCATCGAAACGTTTTATTCAAATGTGAACGAAACTGACGTAGTTCGTCGATTTCACGTATACGCGTTAGAAAACCTCCTCGCTCTCTTTTACAGAAATAACAGCATCCGTTATTTATAGCCGAGAAAAATCGGTGAGCGTGCACACGCACGCATGCCCAAATGATACTAATTTACCGCTTTTAATCCAATCAAGCGTAGATAATAAAGTCTACTCTTAATCCAATCTATGGCCGTGACTAACGGGACGTGTGAATAGCTACTAATTATGCGCGCATTGAATACACAGCGTAATTGTTACACGCCGTATGGCGTACGGTTTGTCAATTTAGTCAAACCATATGTCGGTTTACAAACACACACCATATTTCCGCCAACCATACACATTGTAACGCCACCAACATGTTATTTATAAAAACCTTATCTTCGTTTACAGAAACACGTGTACATTTTTCCTACCAACAGGTGCCTGCGCCACCGAACCACAATCCCCCCCCCCACTAGACTCACTAGTTTGCTAGAACGAAAGAAGTAGTTTGCGCTAGACTGTCACTAGTTTGCTAGAACGAAAGAAGTAGTTTTCGCAGAAACATAGTTTTCCGTACAGTGTGCAACCTTTGACCTGCGTACGTGGCGCGATAACGTAGCCTCGTGTAATTCTCTGATTCGAATGCAGTTACAGCTGTACTATGATAATATTTTTTGGTGCTAAATAGGTTTAGGTGTAAGGTTGATATGGCACAGAAAAGATTTAACGAACATCGTTTTCTTCAATATACTTTTAATATAATATCAGGAGTAGATAATAGAAGATCTTCTATTATCTACTCCTGATTATACATAACCTGTATGATACAGGCGGTATGTTTCGCTTCACTACGCTATGTACCGTAGACTATGTACACTATGTACGGTGAAGTGTAGTGAAGCGGAACCGGAACCGCCTGTATCATACAGGTTAGATTATACATAGATTTCACATGACGTCACAACTAAATGGTCACGTGGTACGGCGGCCATGTTTGGGTGCTGTATACATCAACACACGTTAGACGCACTTTGCATTCTCGGATTCAAGGCGATTTTTCAGTCATGGTAAAAACGTGTTCTCTAGTTCACTGCAATAATCGATCAGACACGGGGTCCAAGCGTGGGTGGTATAGCATACGGCGATCATCACGCACCAGGGAGAAATAGCTGGCCATTCTATCCAGAAAGAACCAAGATGGGACACATTGGATGCCTACGAAAAACTCTTTTGTCTGTTCTGATCACTTCCTTAGTGGTGAGTGACTAGTATCTAAGTACGAATTTTAAAACGGTAAATTCTGATTTCTTTTAGTACACCACTACAGAGGCGTTTTATAATATGTAGCCGGCATGCGGCCTATTTAGCTGTTATCGTCAGATACCTATTTTTGCCAACTACTTTCAAAGCTCCTCTGAGTCTCTCTCTCTCGCTCTCTATGTCTCTCTCGCACACAGTGTTTATTATAATCAAGTCTGATAGTAGTAATAACAGTGTCATGCTGGTTCAGACACCTAAATGCCCCCTCCTTCTCTCTCTGTAGACCATTGCAGTGAAGAAAAACCCGTTTTTGATTTTTACAGGCAGAGCATCACAGTTGTTCGAAAAGACTCGTGTCGGTGAAGCCGTGTTACCTGTGACGACGTGTTACCTCTGACGTGTTCCTGCGACGCCGTGTTACCGGCACCGACGTATTACCCATGCCGACGTATTACCGGTGAAGCCGTGTTACATGTGAAGCCATGTCTGTGGTGAGAAGTCCGGCCATCATGTACCTCAGATGACGCCTTCATTACTACTTTAAGTATGAAACAAGGCAACTTCTACAGGAGAAAAGCAAGCGTAATCGAAAGGCTCAGGCCGTTTTACATGTGTGAAACTTTAAATCAACTGGTGCATTTTGGTGGATTGTGCTTGTTAATGTGCTTTCACTAAAGTTAGGAATTGTGTCACAGAATGGACTGCAGCAGCCATTATTGCTCGAGTAGGCAACTCGTCTAGAGTAACGATAAAATGTCTAGAACCTTCGTATTCACCAAAAACATGCAATTTTCGAAATATGTTATTTTTTCGGATTCTGTCAGTTAGCACGTGGTGTTCAATTGTCTAGACGGCTGAGTGTCCTCACTTTGCGTTCTAGACAGCCCCCGACCATGCCTGATTTCGTACGTGCCTAAGATTACCCCAAGCGTGTAGGTAACCTAAGCAAAGAGTATTGAGGTCCTATATTCTTGTTGTATATTCCTCTTTCTGTATAAAATGAAAAATAACTTGTATTTGTGGTGAACCAGCCAATGTTCCAGGGTAAGGCATGTCACTCGGGGACATAGCCCCTGTGTTGAGCAGGGTATTATTTAGGCACGAAATTATGCAACGTCACCAACAGTGTTCGATAAAACAGCTTCTTCATAAAACAGGCCCGCTGATACTACAGCTATTTGATCACCGAAAATTTGAAACACTGAAAAACTGTTACCTGTAGAAATCTTTTCTTGCATATTAAATTCCAGGGGTATTTATTTAAAAACTAATCCGTGATAAACCGTGACATACATGTAAACAATGCGTTCGCCCACTGCATATTCGCGCAGCCTGATTGTAAATGAAAGAGCGATAGCCTGGAACCAGCCTTCGAAATTAGTGCCGACCCGGAGGCCCGAGGCCACCAAGTTTTTGCTTCGGCCACCATCTCTGCGAAACTGCCGGTCCTCCTGAACGGCACCTTTTCCCTTCATAGTACGCTGAAATACTACGGTTATCGCAACGGCTGTTTAGACAGACTTGTAAACGGGAGGGCATTCTAATACGCTCCGTTCCTGAGCGTAGACGGGGTACTCAAAACATCTAGAGCCGAGGGCATGAATTCCCTCAGCGCATGATTCGACACACAAACAAAACCTCGTGACAGTCTAAGAAATCGATTGCTGCATGACCCCAGTATTTTTATGACCGCATAACAATAAGTTCATATGTCGCAGGGGTTATCGTGGGGAGTGAGGGCACGACCAATAATACCTGACCGCACGTAATCAAAGCTGTTAACTGAATTCGTCACTTTTCTTTACGTAGAAAGTGGACTATTTTTTATTCAGTTAGATATCTAGAAGCAATGTAAACTGTATCAAGATTCTATAGGCACTTGTAACTTTGCGGATGTGCGGCAGCATTGAACTATGCATGGGGGTACCGTGGACTGGGGAGGAGAAAAACGAAAATAAAACCTTTCCCACAAGCTCCCCCGACCTTCCTAGAGCTTGAGATATATTGTTTGACCAACTCTAAGTTACATGTTTGCTGTTAATGCCAATGGTTATTTTTGTATACTATTTTGTTACTCACTGCTAGTAAATAAGCGGACCACCAGCTTTTGTGCAGGACCACCAACTTTCTGAAGTTGGTAGTCCTGCTGTCCACTAGATTTTCAGCCCAAATTCAAACCCTGCCTGGAACCCTGTTCCAAGCTGCCCACCACAGTGTAGTAAACTAAAGGGCAAGTTGCCAGTCGAGTGCGGAATTAGCTGCGAGTAACATAAAATCGTTTCTCATTGGTGGGTGACCGTGGGTCTGGTCTGAGCAAGTGTCTCAGATTTCGACCAATCGACATGACTGTAAGATCGACACATGGTTAGACTGGTGTACGTATGACGGCTCCACTCGCAATGTTATGAGACGCTACTACGTTGCTACCGATGTGTACCAGACTACCAGTCTGTCTCGCTGCAGACTCTGCTGTCAAAGTGGAGAGTCGTAGTTACCAAGGAGGTACATATAACAACGATGTGGCGTTTCCTTAATTGTGAGCCCCGGCAAAGAAGCATAAACAGTCATCCGACGAGAGGAAGGAAAAACAGAGGGATTATGATTATGGTCATTGATAATGACTAATAAACACAGCGTCACCCTGCTAAGATAACTGCCTATCTCAAGTTTTGGCCAAATTGAGATTTTTGCCTAGGTCAGCTTCTGAACACATTGGGCACCTACTGTCTAGCTGCCTATCTCATTGTTAAAACAGTGGTGTATGAAATGCCAGAAAATGCAAATTGCCCATCTCAAGAGGTGAGTTAGGCAATTTTTATCACTGAGATAGGCAATTTCCCCATATTCCGAGATGGCTGCACCTAGACAAATACAACGGAAAACCCTTACTACAGATGAAATTCTTTCCATGATAGACAGGAGTGAGAGCAGTGGTAAATATCAACATTAATTTAAAACAAGTCCTGTCACTGTACAAAAGTAAAATTGGTGCAACTTCCTTCAGATACGTCTCCAGTTCAAAGAAAGCATTGTATTGAGGTCAGTTGGCACAATAGCCACCCATTCATGAGTGTGCAATGCATTGTCTAGGCATGGATATATATGTCTATATATACATATAGGGTTGTTTCTGATACGGTATTTAGTAAGCAGTTCCACAGCCAGAACTACGCGGTGTTCATCCCCAAAAAAGACCAATGCGACATCTGTGTAAGTTACAAACATGGAAACATTGATGAAGAAACGTACAATGCTCACATCCGCGCTAAGGATCAGGCGAGAGATGAAAAAGCAAGGGACAAAGCATCTGCAAGTGACAGAATATCAGTGAGGACAATGGACTTGCAGGCAGTACTCATTTGCCCTCAAACCCAAATAGCCCCCATGCATTACAAAACGTTGCAAGTACACAATTTTACCCTGTATAATTTGGCAACTTGGGAAGTGATAGTTTTGCATCCCTTCAGTATAAGCACTTTGAGCAAGTGCTTAGTTGCTCAGAATCCAGCTTTAGAGGTAATACTTGTCTGGAGCGATGGGTGCGGGTATCAGAATAGGAATGCGGTAGTTGCAAATGCCTACTCAGAATTGTCTAGGAAGTATAGGGTTGTGATCAAGCAGAAATATCTTGTTGTGGGTCATACTCAAATGGAGTGCGACTCCATGCACAGCACTATAGAGAGGAAAATAGTGACTGATATCTTCACACCCAGAGAGTACATCCTGATGATGGTAAGTGCCCGTCTTAAACCAGCGGGCTGCCCTATACATGTATAGTGAAGCAGGTTACCCACAGTGAATGGATGAAACTAGATGGTATGTACTTCACCAGCATCAGGCCAGGTAAGAAGGCTGGATATCCTACCGTCCATGATCTCCGAGGACTTGAATACCGCAGTGATGGCCAGGTAAGTTACAAACTGTCTCTTGGTGAAACTGTCGAGTGGGAGGTGTTGCCTCAGAGGATACGTTAACCAGCCCAACCATTGAAATGGGTAAAAATATTACAGGAGCCCCTACCGATAAAACGTAGAAAATATGATGACCTGCAGTCTATGATGCATGTCATGCCACAAGAATGGCGCCACTACTATGAGGCACTGCTACATGACTAGTTATAATTTTCTGACAGTTCAAAATTGTTCATACATGACACTGTACAATTGAAATTAAGGATAGTAATAGTTTACAAACCTCTAAAAGCTGGCTAATGCTCCATTAGGAGTGTTCCCAACTTTGATATCATTAATGATTAATGATTAATGATTAATGATTAATGATTAATGATTGATAATCCTAACCCTAACCCTAACCCTAACTCTAACTCTAACTTAAATGACATTAAACCACAAACTAAGATATGACCATGACCATATATATTAACTAACTAACGATTCATAAGCCACCTCATGCCATGTAACAAGATCATGTATATCATCTGATGTCAGGCATAGCTCAAGATTCATATAACATCTTTGGTCTAGTGCGAACCTGAAGAATATAACGTGCTTACTCTCTCCGTTACTCTAGGCGATTAAAGACAGCAAGCTGATTGCGATGGTCGGTGTCCTACTGATGATGAACATGACTGTACTTATACTCCAGCTAATAATTGATCCACCCCACATTGACACTATCTCAGCCAGGCCTATCGTACGTATATACATATATTACGTTATATATACGTTATACATATACGATATATAGTTATCAGCGATGGCTTTTCTTGACGATTATAAAGCCGTCGCTAAGCATTCACTAACAACTAATACTCTAACTATAGACACGTATACACTAAGTAGACACTAGTATAGAGTATTAGTACACTAGATAGACATTAGTATACTAGATAAGTAGACACTACTACACTAGATAGACATTAGTACACTAGATAAGTAGACACTACTACACTAGATAGACATTAGTAGACACTATAACTAAACTTATTGTATATAGATGAGTGGATGTAATTCACCCTCTTTACGTCAAGGATTCGATCTCAGAACACATCGCGATGTGTTGCCACGGAAACTACCGCTTATCGATACAATTCTAGGAACATATGCGCAATTATTTTAGCTTCACCCTGCGCGTTCGTGGTTTAAGTAGATGGCGGTTGATCGTAAGGCATTCTATCAATGCGCAGGTGAGTCCGCACGACTCTGACGTCATCAATCAGTACCTGATCGACACGTGCAGCTCGAAGAATGAGGTTTACTTCATGGCAGCGTTGTACATCATCCAGGGAGTACTCCTGTTTGGGGGATGCTTCCTAGCCTACGAGACTCGCAAGGTGAATGTATACTCCACGCACGCAGTAGATCTTAGTTCCTTTTACGCAGACATCGACGAAGGAGTTAGAAAAAACCGTAATAATGTTAGGGTTACCCTATCTTTACGAAACTACGCATGCCGTACCGAATGTACTGGGATGAATTAAGTCTTTCCCTTCATTTCTCTCTCGCGCGCGCACTCTCGTTTCCCTTTCTCGCACATACACTCTCACTCCATCTCTATCTCCCCCTCTATCTCTTGTTCTTCATTCTCTTCTAGGCTTTTGCTTGTATTTCACCTAGTGATATTTGGCTGTTTCTTTCACTAGGTGAAAGTGGAGGCACTGAATGATTCGCAGCTGATCGGTACTTGCATCTACAACGCCGTCGTTCTGTCGTTCATGGGCGTCGCCATTACGTTTATCCTGCCCGACAATCCGCCCGTCAAGTACGGCCTCGTCTCTAGCTTCATCATCGGTGGAACTACGTTCACCGCCTTCCTGCTCTTCTTACCTAAGGTACGATGTTACACGTACCCAAGTAGTAGTGGTAGTAGTGGTAGTAGTAGTAGTAGTAGTAGTAGTAGTAGTAGTAGTAGTAGTAGTAGTAGTAGTAGTAGTAGTAGTAGTAGTAGTAGTAGTAGTAGGTAGTAGGTAGTAGTAGTAGTAGTAGTAGTAGTAGTAGTAGTAGTAGTAGTAGTAGTAGTAGTAGTAGTAGTCGTAGTCGTCGCTGTAGTAGTAGTAGTAGTAGTAGTAGTAGTAGTAGTAGTAGTAGTAGTAGTAGTAGTAGTAGACTAGTAGTAGTAGCAGCAGCA